AGGCATACCAACTTATGCCTCTCCATGCAGCCTTCTTCATCTAGCATTATTCTGAGCTGGACTGAAATAAGCATAGCCTGTTATCTTTCACATTCAGAGAGATTTGTTTGGCATAACACAAGATCTCCATCTCCCCCCACCAGCGCACAAAACCAACAGCTTTTTGCCATGGCCAGCCAGATATTATCACATTACAGTTGGTATGAAACTTCTCTAACCTGAGAGCTGTGAAGAAGAATGTTATTCAAATGGGGAGGAAATCTGCAAAATCTTTTTCCTGGCAATTGACTTTTAGGGTAGGTGCAGATATTACGCTTACATGACCGTAAGGTACAGCCATGTGCAGACCTTATACTTAGGTTGAACTAAGTGCCGATCTGTAAGTGCATTTGGGGAGGTTAGATTGGGGGGTGGGGAGGGGGGGAATGGTCAGCCTTAATTGCTTGAGAGGTGCAGTAAGTTAGATCGGGCACAGGTTAGCCAAGTCTACCAAACATTTGTACAGATTCTGAGTGCAGCCCTGGGACTGGGAAATCCCATCTGCTCACCCCAGCCCCAGGGCTCCACTTTTCCTATCCCCTGCCCTCACCCTGACCAGGCTATTTTTTAGCCCCTGACCTGCCATTCCTGAACAGATACCCCTCCCTGCAGACTTAGCCTCTCCCACCCCACACCACCCCATCATAACTGAGTTGCACTGAAATCCCGGTGCAGCTCCTAGCACCAACAAACATGCACTCTATAGCTAAGTGGCTTATAGTAAGATGCATGACTGTAAATCAGGTCCTGGGAATATCTGCATGTGGCCCACCAAACATGTGTGCACCATTTTGGAGACCAGCACCGGGACTGCACTTTTCTTATTCCCACCGTACCCTCATGTTTAGTCCTCTGACTCTTCCCTCCCCCCTCCACCCCAGGACAAACTACTCCAACCCACTAGCCCCCCCGCTAGTCCCACTCACCTCTCCCCCCATCCTGACTTGCTTGGATTGCATTCCTAGAATCGCTCCTGGCACTGGTCAACATGTGCAGAAGTGTGACCTGGTCTACAATAAAACTACTTAAAACAAGTGTGTGATTTTTGATCGGGTCCAAGGCATGTGGCCTTAAAGTGCTGTCACCTGACTCCCCTAGCAATGACACTGGGTATCTCAGATCAGAAGAAAGAAATATTTTTTCAGTATTTAAAGCCTAAAAACGTTATATACATGCTGACAGCACATAGAATGATTAAATATTTTCCTTCAGTGACACTGCTTTGTTTTGCGTTTGGCTCTTATTTCACCAGTGGCAGACATTTTACATCCTACATTTACTGGAAGGAAACCTTCCCCCACCCACTCACCCCACACACTGAAGGATGTAATAGCAGTATTAATCATTTATGCAATGCTAAAAGCTGAGCATGGCCATTCACGATGGGCTGAAGGTATGACCTTTTTCTTACAAATGTCCCAGGACACTACAAAACTAAATGCATCTGATATATACAGACTACTGTTATAGTCTGTTGCTGAGAAGTTGGTCAGTCAGAGTGATGTAAGTGGAATATGCTTCCTGAAATATGAGCATCTGCTAAAATGGCTGTTCATAATGTTGTTGTTTGACAGTATGCTTTCGTTGCGAAATGCTGATTCAGCAAACCCAGCAACTGTTTGCAGGAAAGGGCCAGATGAAATGTGTCTCATTTCAAAATAATTCTGGAAAAAAGTTTTGCGAGCAGCAATGATTTCTGCAGGTGATTATCTTTTATTGGACCGACTGGATAGTTGGGATAAAGTCAGACAAGATTTCATATGCATAGCATTCTTCACCAGGAAAAAGGTTAGGAAATTTTGGAACCATCCTATTTTCCACTTTAAAAGTAGTCAGCAATGTTTATGGGGGTGGGAGTGGGGAGAGTTCCTTTTTTTTTTTAATTAAAGTTAATTTATGGCAAGAACACAGAAGAAATGTTAATGAGTAAATCTTAGACATTTCTGCAGAAGTTTTTTTTTCCATTTCTTGTACTGGTGTTTCATTCTGTCAAGGCCATAAACAAGGGAATTCCACTGGCAGATTTTCAGCAGTGCACTGGGATTCCCCCCCCCCCCCCCCCCCCCC